CCAGCACAGAGTCCCGATAGCTGCTTGGAGAGCGAATGCGAGTAATTTGGAACGTCACTTTCTTAAGCTCATACGTGAAAATTCGCTTGTGCTTTGACAGTTAGAGCTCTCTGGATACCTCCCAATACGCAACAAGCTAGGGTCTGAGCCACTGAGGTGAATCCAGCACTGTGAGTAAGACGAACATGCAATGCATTACTTTGAAAGGTAAGAGGATTGATGTTGATTTTATTGTCTGAAATCAAATGATTCCATAAGGCTTTATAGATCAATCCTAATATAACTAAGCACCTACTCATCCAAAGCAACGGGTCCCACCCTCTCAAGTTAGCGCGCCAGAAAGCCGAAGGTGGATTTCTTCAAGGAGGTCCGAGTTACTTTATTCGTGCGCTTCATAGAGTCGTGTATAGAAGACGTTCTAGCAACAGGATTAGGTAATGATCCATGTATTAGATTGAATGAGCTCATAAGGGAAGACCTACCGGGAAACATACCTTAAAAGTAATAGTGTAAACCGTCTTCTGCTCACGAAACCCAGAGAGAGCGCTAGAATTAGGACGAATAGGATCCAAGACTCTTAGCCGTCTTAGGTAGAGTGATACACGTGCCGATCTTGAAAGTATCGCTGCCACCGTCGGCCCACCAATCCTGGATAAAAGCATCCGATTCGTAGCAGATGGACCCCGACCAGAATTTAGCCCTCTGTCGCCCGGCTCCGTAGCCTAGGACGCGGAAAGAACGGAAACTGAAGAGGTCCGTGCTTCTGCAGGTGTTGTCAAAGATGTTGAGGTCGCGGGCGGCGCCTCCTCCGCAGTTAGCGCCAGGGAAGATGCGGACCTTATAGGAAAGAGCTCCAGTGCCGAGGCAGAGAACGGCGGTGAGGGTCTTGGTGATATGCATAGTGGTAGATTGATAGGTATAAAGGATCTTGGCTTTAGTTTGAGGTCTGGGATGAAGCGAATATGAAGCTGTTGAGTAAAGAAGCATTCTATTGAGCGTTATAGAATCCATCCCTTATATACTAAAACTCCGGAAACTATAAGAGTATCTTAAAACTGTTTAGTAAGCTTGAATAAAGCAGTGAATCTCGGTAAAAGATCGACACAGTCCGCGTAAATGCAGCAGGCAACTAGATACGAGTATACTTAATAGTACTGAAAGTCGGGGTAGTATATACGCGTAATGCCTAGTTTGATCTCTTTGTAAATAGCGCATTTTAATGCACAGAAAGGGGGCTGTTTCCCCGTAAGCGGCAGTTTAATTCGTGGAGTGAAATGCCCCCGAGATTGATTTTGAAAGAATTATGCGGTAAGTAAGACCAGCAGCTATGAATGATTTTTATTGGAGCATTTGTTAAAATAAACTTTGATAACTGTTCATTAGCTCCTGACTATGAACTATCTTGAAGTGGTACTATACCAGTCACCGAACGAATATTCAGCAAATGGGAAGAAGAATCACATGACCTACCTAATATATTGATTTCATACTTTCGACCAACTATTAGCGGCCTGCCAATAAAGGCTAAAGCGGAGCATGGGTATACATTCTCTTAGGGAGTGATATGCCATTCCGCGTAACTGGTACCCGTGTACGTAGACTCACCGGCCTTGCTCTATTTTGCCGCAGGCTGAAGGAAGCTCCGCACGACGAACCGAGGAACACCTACGGAAATTGTTTGTTGCAGGTTTTACTGTATTTCTCACACGTAGTCTGTCTGCCTCTCATCTATCTGACAAGGCGAGGCACATCAACTCCAGCGACGCAAACTTAACTTACGCCAAACTGGAACAAAACTGGGGTATCTTCCTGTTGTTCCTCAGACCTCTGCTTCTTGACGTGAATATCTTCTTAAGATTTGCCGCCTACTCAGGCCATTTTACAACATTTGGCACTGGTTGACAAGCCGGAGAATAGGATTCTTAGCTCGTTTATGGTCTCGTTGACAATGCCGAACAGCTGGAGCAACGACTAGAGCAACGAATACTGCAAGACATTGCTTCCAGGTGAGCTGCCACGCAATGCTTCATGGACAACATCAAGTCACACTTCGAAGCTAACCTCTAACGTGAGTCTCGGGGAATATACAACTCTGATGTTCGAGGCTAGCTCTTAGGTTGATAAGCCTTAACTAATGGCGGCCGATGTTTCCTAGCGGGAAACCACTCCAGTCGATACCGCGGACTAGTAGCGACGGAATAACCAATATCATTATGGTCACAAGACGGATTGAAGAATTCCCCATGTCAGTAGAGCAGAGCCTTGGTCTCTCCTCATTGGATGTGACTCCTCTCCATGTAGACATTGAGGCATATTCTTTTTGGAAAGAAAATCGAATAAATGAACATGTTTGGAGTCGTGACAGTTCCTACTGTCAGCTTCGCCCTAGACCCAGGCGTGTCAGTTGAGCGTGTCAGCTTTACCCCTTTATGTGCTACACCTTGGCTGCGGCGTAGGGGCCTCCTCTTTCCCAAGCACCACAGATTGGCCACGACCTGGCCTTTCCTGGAATCTCAGCCTTTCATTTTTATTGAAGGCTACAGGGAAGCCGCTAAGGTGTGTTGGGGATTTGCAGCGGCGGCTCCTCTCAAAATTCCACCACTTACACCAGCGACACAACGATCCTCGAATCGTGGCAGTCTAGCAATGGATGTGATTTTGCGGTAAGCACGTTCCGTCCTAAACAAATCTGATTCTTCAGTCCAAGATCAGGTGCATGGTGAACATGTGATGACCGGTCCTCGAGGCACCGGTAGTCTCAATCCGCCACGTTCATGGCTTACCTACCGAAGCCACGGCCACCCTGAAATTACAACGTCTGGGGACACGGGACTAATCCTTAATCAATGAACTCCAAGGTATCAGACCTTATTGAGCTGACAATTGATCACATGTTCTTTCACGACGCAAGATCGTACTTCGCTAATCGCTCAAACATGCAAGATCCGGCCAATTGAGCATGCAACCCGACACCATTTCCGAACCGTGCCTTCTAGCGAGGCCCAGAAACTGCACACTGAAGCTATTCGAGCAATTTCCTGAGTGCCATGCCTTACAATTTAATCAACAAGGAGCACTGCATCTGTTGATGACGAGTCAAGCTCTGGTCAAGGCCATCATGGCCCGTGTGCTGCTATGGGCTTGTAGCAAATTGGTTTTTGCAACATAGATAGACCCAAGATCCGAACACAACTTGGTGGTTCTGGATGTTGTTCAACAGCATCATTCTTTCAGCTTCTTTCACTTCTCAGCCCATATTCATTGACCTCTTTTCAACCATGAAGGTCTCCGCTTTTGTTCTTGCCGTCGTCGCCCAGGTGGCCTCGGCGCACTACTTCTTCGACACCAACATCATTAATGGTAACTCACAGCCCTCATTCAAGCACGTCCAAACCTTCACCTGCGCCACCAAGTACAACCCCATCAAATTCTCATCCAACCCGGCGGCCGACATTCGCGATGGATCTTTCGCCGATGGTCCTGATATGCGCTGCAACTAGGGCGCTTTCTCCGCTGCTGACCGCACCGAGGTCCTGACCGTCAATGCCGGCGATGAGGTCCGCGTCAGGCTTGGGGTTGGCGCCCCCATGGAGCATCCTGGTATATCCACATACGCCATTACTGGAAAGGTGATGAGATTGCTAATCTATTGCGGCTAGGCCCCAGACTGGTCTACATGTCCCGCGCCCCCGGTGACAACGTGAAGGCCTACGACGGATCTGGAGACTGTTTCAAGATCTTCGAGGAAGGAGTCTGCAGCTTTTAGCAGCGGCTTTACCAAGAATGCTTGGTGCACTTGGGGCAGGAATTGGATCGCCGCCAAGGCTTCCAAGAATACCCCGAACTGAGAGTATCTCTTCCGCGCTGAGCATGTTGGTATGCACCAGTGATATCGAAAAAGACAAGCCGAAAAAGGTAGCTAATCCATCCAAGGTGTTGACCGTTCGCACGTCAACCCGCCCGAGCACCACGTGTCTTGCGTGCAGATCCAGGTCGTCAACGGCGGCAACGGCTCGCCCGGCCCCCTCGTGAAGTTTCCGGGCGCCTACAGTGCCACCGACGCCTATGCTAAATTCAGTATCTACGGTGGCGACAAGACCTTCCCGTTCCCGCGCCCCGCTGTCTGGAACGGTGTTGGCGGCAGTACCGCTCCTCCCACCGCTCGTCCCACCACTCCAACTCCTCCTTCAAACCCTCCTTCGATCCCCCCCCCCTCCCCACCTCGGGCTGTGCTTCTCTATACGGCCAGTGTGGTGACTCCGGTTTCACTGGTCCCAAGTGCTGCTCCTCCGGAACCTGTCGCGTCAGCAACCAGTCGTACTCACAGTGTCGGTAGATCAGCTCCATCGCGCGGTGTCCATTGATATGTTTCGTTTCGTCAGGACCCATTCTGTTGGTTACTGGGAGCCCGGTGCAGGTAGTCACATGCATTGCTCATTGCTGTGCGTATATCTGAATATCTGAGATGGACACGCAACTCCCGTTGAGGATATAATCTCCTGGCGGAACGCCTTCCGTCACATACGACCATACCTACTGGAAAACTCGGGATCCCGTCCGCTCTCCCATCGATAAACCAGTAAGGGCCGGATCAGTAGTCGGGTGGGTGACCACCGGCGAATACCTGGTGTTGTATGTATGTTTTGGCCTTTATGGCCTATATTTTGCATGGTCACAAGTGGTGCTCGAAGGCTCGAGCTTGTGGTGTGGATAAGACAGGGGACTTGTTCTCCACCACCTATTGTTTCTTTCAGAATATGTATAACAAATTTCATGCATCAGGTACCCAAGGTAGATGTGCTCTTATAACCGGCCATTTCGATATGGTTACGACGGTCTGAGCTCTCTCCTTGGACCTAGGAATGGGAATCAACAAGAATTGCGCTTAATGTACGGGGGTTCAAGTGTGCGTGTATTGGTTAAGTTAATAGGTGCTAAAAAAAATTGGGATCAGGTGAACCTTCAGTGATGCATGTCCCTTGACAGACGAATACCCCCCTTGCATTGCATTTCCAGTCCTGTTCTCCCAGACCTGTAATCTTTCTACCTTTCCCTTGAATCTACCTACTGGTTGCAAGCCTGTATGGGTAAGCCTAACTTTAGGTGCACGGGCCAGTTGACAGATATTTCCATGTAACAACGGTGCTCAACCTTTTATTAGATCCTAATTCCGATATCGGTTTCACGAGCGGACGAAATAACATAGTTACTTAAGAGTCACTAGTGGCATCTTTGAGTTTGGTCTATCAGGCTCGGCCTATTGAGTTTGCCGATGCCGCTTACTCAACGATACTCGGAAGCCCAGTGGCTGTTCAGCGTGATGGGCCATACGTGGGCAAACGTTCTCGCGGGGATCGATGTATCCCTTCCATGAGCGACGCAGTACCAATACCTCAATATTTGCGAGGCTGGTGCATTGGAGTTTCTTCCTGAACTTTGAGGGCCAGTAGGGTATTCAGTTCGCCAATTTACTAAAGACTGGGTCGAATGAGCCGGGTAACACGTACCTATCAGTGCTGCGACAGCGTGATTCGCTGATGCAAATCTCAAGACGGAGGGGAAAGGCGTTGGCAGGACAGATTCAGTATATTCATATACTTTTGATCTTTGATATTATCTCCTAGGAACGCGAATAAGAGCTGATACATTCGTGGCCACGGGTTCCAGTGATCTCGAATCTCGAACAATCAGAAAGATATCTAATATTCAGATGCATTCTTCTTTGAGGAGAGTACTAAGTATTACCTCTTGAACGTTCCTCTTAGTCGTGTGACTGATGGTCTCCCTGGTCGGTGATCAGTGTTCTGTGATTGACGTGCTGTGATTTTCTGGCCATGATCACTGTGCCGTGATTCCTTGAAGAAACACGGAACGGTGATTACACTTCCATAATCTTGTTAGAGGGTCGTGTGAATTTCCATCTACGCTCTCTTTTTTTCTTTTTCTTTTATGAAAAAAAAAGAACAGGCTGCAATGTTATAGTTCTTTGCGTCGTAGTGATATCATTCTTTCTATCGCGTTTGCTATTTGGGTAGCTCGGGTTTGGCCGGATTGCTTGCCGCCCTGAGGCTATATTGTAGGATGGATATAGACACTGTGGTTAGCATGTTGTATACCGCTACATTCTCCACAACCTTGAACACGTCGATCACTCGAGGTTAGTCCCTGCTAGGTAATAATAGCCAGGTTTTGATTTAGGTTCCAGCGGCAGCTCCCTACAAGTGCCGAAAGCCGGAAAACTCGGCACAACACCGACCAGGGACCGCGACGGGTCTGGTGATGTTGTCCGTTCTTTTGTTATCTAAAAGCTCGACACCCCAGCCCATGGGCTTGAAGGAGAGGTGGTAGCAATCCGTCATCTTGTCGTGTCAGTAGGCCGTTTTCGTCTTATTCACTATAAAACCACTCGCAATTTTTACATTTTTAGATATCAAACTACTCAACTGCCTTGATGCAGAATCAAAACAGTTTCGTACGGCTTCCTGATCAACCTGGTCGTCGACTTCTTCCATTCGTAGTCGAATCATTGGCTCAGGAGGTGCCAGAGCTCTGTCTGTACGAGGTTCCTTCTGATGAAGAACCGAGAACGTTCCGCAAGGTCACCGCTTTACAATTCAAGACATCGATCGATCGGACGGCGGCTTGGCTTGCCTCATTTACGGCGCAATTGCGAGCCCCTCCCACCGTTGGCTACAGTGGCCCAAGTCTGTTTCCCCAACTCTACATCTTCATAGCTCCAAATCAACTTACCTGTACTCTCTATAGATGACCTCAGGTACTTTCTTTTAATGCTCGCAGGCGTTAAGACTGGTTGTCGAGTAAGTTTCCTCTCTCCAACCCAGGTTCTCAGCTTACGCTATCAGGTCCTCTTATCATCGCCGCGCAACAAAACCGACGCCCATCTGGCCTTAATCAAAACCTCAAACTGCGAAGCATGGATTACTTGTTCAGCTTCAGATAATCCAGAGTTCCTCAATGATCGACTGATGCGAACACACATAATCCCAAGCTTGGCTGAGCTCCTGGACCCATCCCCTGTGCCGCACTATCCATACGACAAGACTTTTGAACAGGGGCGAGGCGATGTGCTTGCCCTTCTGCATACATCCGGATCTACGGGACTTCCTAAGATTGTGCCTCTCTATCTGGGAGCCGCCGCTTGCGTAGATGGATTTCACGAAATGGAACCCATAGCTGGCAAGATGCCGACGCTCGTGGAATGGAGCGGGACAAGGATGCTTTGTGCAATGCCCCTTTTTCATGTACGACCACCTCCCGCCATCACTTTTTTTACAGTTTATGCCGTAAAACTGACAAATGAGGTTCGCTCACATCTAGGCGGCCGGTATTTCCATCGGGTTATACGGCGCCATCTATTTTCGCTGGCGTATTGTTCTGCCTTTCAATACGCCGATCTCTGTGTCATCGGTTGAACAAATATTGGACACCAACCCCGTCGAATCAGCTTTCCTACCTCCAAGCATCCTCAACGATATAGCCAAGACGCCCGCCTCTCTGGAAAAACTAAGGCGTCTGCAGTTTGTCACAACGGCCGGTGGACCAATCTCTAGAGCAGCTGGTGACATCATCAACCAGTATACGCCTCTGAAACTAAGCATGGGCACCACTGAGGGACAGTTGTTTGCGACAATGCCACCAAATCGTAACGATTGGCCATACTTCTGTTTTGCTCGCGAAACGGGCTACTCAATGCGCCCAGAGTCCGATGGTCGTTTTGAGCTTGTGTTCGAGCGTCATGCGAAGTTTGATCTGATGCAACCCATCTTCGTCAATTTCCCGGGCCTTGATGTGTGGCACACGAAGGACTTGTACTCGCAACATCCCCAGAATCCACTGCAGTGGAAGTTTGAGAGCCGCAAAGATGATCTTATTGTTCTATCGAATGGCGAGAAGTTTCAACCCTCAGATGCCGAGGATGTAATTGCCGGTCATCCACTTGTGCGCGCAGTGTGCATAGTAGGGACAGGCATGTTTCAAGCTGCAATCCTGGTCGAGCCAACACCAAGCGCCGCCTCTTCACATAGTATCGATGAGATGTTGCGAGAACTATGGCCTGTCGTTCAGCAATGCAACCTTCGGCTGCCGAGCTTTGCGCAGGTCCATCGAGACTACATCAGGTTTGTCGATGAGCCACTGACACGAACTGCCAAGGGGACTTTGTCCCGCCCCGGAATCAGTCAGACATTCAAGTTTGTTATTGAGGATATATACAAACAAGAACACCAACCTAATCAAACGTTGCAAACCGAAGTAACTACTTTGCAGGCGATCCAGCAAGTCATACTGGACGCGGCGAGCGACTACATCAAGCCCAGGCCAGTTGGTCTCAATGAAACTTTTATCGAAGCTGATTTTGACTCGCTGACATTGCTTGGAATGAAGAGATCGATCGAGAGTCGGTTGGGTAACAACTTTAAATTTGAACTGCGCCACTTATACGAATGCGGCACGCTGCGACAGCTCGCCGATGTCATTTGGGACTTGCTCAGCCAGCAAGATAGACAAGCTGGGCCTGGAAAGCCAAACAGAGGGACTGACCTAGCCCCTCGCATGCGTAAACTTTTGGGAAAATATCAAACTCAGTCTCAGCGGCCAAGTCCGCCAAAGCGAGTCATCCTTACGGGCTCAACTGGGTCTGTCGGGGCTTACCTTCTTGACAGGCTGTACGCCGAGGATCAAATCGACGAGATATGGTGCTTGAATCGAAGCCAGGCCCATGACAAACAGGTCAAATCAGCGAGTGAAAAAGGTCTAAAATTCGACTGGGGCCACAGAGTTAAGTTTCTCGAAGCGCATCTACATTTGCCATCCTTTGGTCTCGCCGATGACGACTATGAATTGCTACTTGACAAGGTGGACTTAATCTTCCGTAAGACCTGAATATCTCTCGCCACTGTGTACATATCACGGGTTCTGTTAATGGTTGACTTGCGAACAGACAACTCCTGGAAGGTCGACTTCAACCTTCCCTTGGAAGCTTTCGAGCCACAAATTGCCGGCGTTAAGAATCTGATCCAGTTTTGCGAGACATACAAAAGGAAGAAACACTTGTTCTTTGTATCTTCCATCAGCGTGGCGGCAAATTGGTTCCATTATCCCTCAGGCCCCATACAAGAAGCACGCATCCCAGACCTTTCAGCTCCAGATAACGGCTACGGGGCTTCAAAATTAGTCGCTGAGCACCTCATTGAATTGGCATCCGGAAATAGTTCTATGACCTCGACTATCTGTCGAGTAGGTCAAATTGCCGGTCCCACAAGGCGAGGCAACTTAGGAAGTTGGAATTCAAAAGAATGGCTGCCCACGGTGAGTACGGAACCCCATTATGAAAGAAAAATGTGATTCTTTTCCTTCTTGTCGCTGAACAGTGATGAATGACCAGTTGATCGATGTTTCTTTGGATCTGGGATTCATGCCGTCCACGCTTGGGGCTTACAATAACGTCGACTGGATTCCAGTGGATATCTTGGCCGATATTTTGGTGGAGTTTGCCTTTTCTCGACTTCAAGAGGTGCCAATTCGATTTTTTCATGCGCTGAATCCTGCAAAGACAACGTGGCAGAAGCTACTGCCCGCGTTATTGGACCATCGGCAAGTCAGCCTACAAACTGTGCCCGACATAGTTCCTCTGAATGAGTGGGTTGATCGATTGGAACAACGCAGCCAAGACCTTGATCCAACTGTCACGAAAGAACAAGGAGATCGTCACCAGTCCAACAAAGGTGCCGCACTACTGGACTTTTATCGGGGCCTCGAGCTGGACCCATCGACAGCTCAAATCCCGACGAGACATCAAGCAGAAGAAAAGTGGGGGCTTGGGCAAGCAATGGCCGCTAGCTCAACCTTGCGAATGATGCAGGAAGTTCAGGAGGATTG